GAACGCCGTGTACATCGTCAACTACCGATGGTAATTGCTTGCGACGACGCAGGAGATAACGGACATAGGCCAATAATCCAACGCCCAATATCACTGAAAAGGTGTAGAAGAGAGATCCAATTATCGTACCCCGAAAGTAAAAGTCGCTGCAACTGCGTACAAAGCATCGAGCTGATACTTTTATCCTCATGGCCGCCGTCAAGCATCAAATAAATATAATAACGAAAGAAATCAGTCATTAACCGCTGTGTTCTACTGCTACAACATGTATGACTACTGGTGCTTTTTTATTCCATTCGACCTGCCTTTCTTCTTCCAAAACAAAGGCGTCACATATATGTGACGCGCAATCCCAGGTACTAAAACTGTGTGAAGAGAACAATGGTGAAAGTGGGAAGTTAAGATCAACGAAATGTGGAAAATAAAACCTTCCCCTTTCTACATCCAGCCACGTATCCTCTGACCTAGAAGCGTGAAACACGAAGAGACCTGTCAGTGTGGCTGCATCATTCAAATGCAACATTTGTGGTAACTTTGACAAATCATGAATTTCCGTATTTAGAAGCGAATGCACTGTACTGATCTTGCGCAGTTCCACCAATGATTGATTTATTCGTCGATCATGCAAAGTGTATGTTCACATATACAAAAGTACATGTTGTAAAATGATAAACCACCACTACCAGAATCGCCAATAACAGTTCGCCTTTAGCGGTCGTCATCAAGATGTTGACATCATTTAAGTGACGATCCGGTGCAAGATTACGTGTCCCATTTCCGTGCTGTGCTTGTAGTAAATATCCACGGGGTCGTATTTGATGCCTTCGTTGCCTGCCATCTTGATTAGGAGCATCATCTGAATTCCTGGAGAATTCATGTACAAGGTACAAAGTGAGGTCCCACCACTTACTCATGACATCATTGTTGCTAATGCTGGTAACTGTAGCAGCAGGCGGCATATCTCATATTTCATTTGCATGGGTCGACATACACACCGATTAGTCATGTAGCCAACCTCAGTGATGTCAATTGGATCACTTTATAAGAAAACACCTGACGTATGCACTAAGGGGAAAGACTGATTACTTAATCTATTAATCTACAAGTGAATGATGGGTGACCAAAGGTGCTAGGGACCAAGAATTAAAATAAGCAGTCTACGGCGGAGAGCAGCGGAAGCAAGTGGACCGGCAGTTAATTCACGGCACACCTCATGCATAGTTTAAAAGGGCTAGGGACTTACAATTTATGCAAAAGAAGTACAATCAATCTCTCAAGACACCGTATCTACACAAGACAGGATAGGTTATGGAGCACACAATCAAACAGATAAAAATTAAAAAGCGCTGAAGTTAAGACAAACAAATGACCTATATTACCTCTCATACATCATCAAAATGTGAAAAAAAAATATTTGCACTTCCAACAAGGGCAAATTTAGTCAAGTAGATTACTAAACATAGACTTGATCCTTTTTACATCGTTAGCAGAGAAAAGAACAATTTTGAGGACTTTAGAGGGTTATCATTCATTCATTTGACGTGGTGTCTATCCAAATAATAGACACCCACGCAATTGGTACTCAAGACGATTCAAGCAATAGACAGGCAATAAAACCGTGATTGCATTACCGCATTCCTGCCAGACGCCACATTTCCAAAGTGACCTACATAAAACTGCCCTGACCTCACAGAAGGTCAAGTGAGCATATTACCAGTGTCGAATGTTGTAAAACGAATAATTTGGAGGCACCAGATGGCAGGTTGAAGTAGAGGCGACAGTTATTATTCATCCCAAGAACAGAAATTCACTCAGGCAAGAACCCCTAAAAACGAACGAATATGTATTTTACACCCGCCGTAATCAACACAATTTCATAGTACGCAAATAAAACAACATCGTTTAGGCAGAGCAAGAATGAGTGGAACCGATTTCAAAGATGAAGTAAGTGAAACATCACATATTTGCTGCCTTGATCTATGCAATTATGAGCCTATACAACATGCCTTAGCATGAATATAGAAACAACGCAGACGTTCTGGAGGTTTTGTAAGGAAGATGTTACTAGCACTAATATTTTACCTACAGATGAGAAACGGCTTCGAGGCCCTCCAAAACCCCTAGGATCATCATCACTCATGGAGCAAATATGTGGGTTATAGAGATCAAAGGGGACAGTCGACAGCCACAACCCTTACACTACTGACCAGAAACATCCTGCTTCTATGCAAAGCTCTAAACTAGGTGCTACCAACTATCCAAAACTAAAAGAATACGTGCCATACATTTATGATGCACTGAAATTAGTTTTCGAGGAAAACGGTTGAAGAAAGGTGCTAACGTCCCCTCCTGGAATCATGCTCAGTCAACATTTATTTGTCGAGGCTAGAGTACATGAAGCGGTTTGACAATTTCTCGATGCAGCACTGCACTGCACTGCGATTATAAAGTAAAAAATTCGTGATCGAGTTCAAGGATTTCCAAATCGCCTTTCCTCAAAACAGGCAAGCCTGAGGCAAGGAGGATCAGGTATGAGGGCTGGGCCTGCACCACTGCTGACCAAGATGGGCGTTTACAATCTAAACGAATTGCGTGATTAAGCAAATCCGTGGCTCGACTGAACCAAACTATTTGACAGTGTGGGAATTTAGCGCAAATAAAAATATCACTGTGGTGTGGATGTTTAAATGGCAGGAAAACATGTTCTGATGGAAAAAGAAGCAATGTGGTGATGGAAATCACTGTGAGGTGAGGGGAACTCACTAAAATCATTCACAATGCTATCCATCGCCATTGCAAATTCTGCTGCAACAACAGTAGCAAAGGTGGCTGGGACTCCAAACGCACCGACATCCACACTTCTCCCTTCGTATATCATGTATCAAGCACAAAAGGTGAAAAAAAACGAAGTTCTAATGACGCTACTAGGGTATGTGAAAAGCCCACTGAAACCACATTCAAATACTAACACTCCTGCAATTCTCTAAGGTTTATTAGTTAATATTTAGAGGTGGAAGAAAACCCCCGAATATCGCTTAAGATATGCGCTTTTACCACCCTAATATCCCATTTATATTGTAAGTGGTCATCAAGGCTAATTCTATGTAATTTAATGTGAATACGTAATGCAAAATGTAAAGCGCTAGATATTATAATAGGACTGACAAAAAAGCACAAAGGTGAATAGCGCAGCCTGCAAAAGTAGGCTTGAGCCAACTGAGGCCGGCAGGTTCAGGCTCAATTACCTACTTCCACTTCTCTTCAGGAACATTTACTAGATCACGCGGATCAGTACATTGAGAGGAACCTACAAATATCAAGATTTGACCCCCGCTTGAGGTCTACTTAAGCAGCAATGCCATCAGACGCGAGAAGTATCATTCTGCAATTAAAATTATAGAAAAGATCAGATTCATATATGTCTAAAAGGGCCAAAGGTGGACGAAAACTTCAAATCACACCTCAGAAGTCCAAACCGCTTAGTTAGTAGAAGTTAAAAAAGACAAATATAACAAGGACACAGTATGCACAATTTTCTATTTACAGGCAAGAACATAATTTAGGACGGGAAAGACTCAATCCAATTCAACTTCAAAACAAATAAAAGTAAAAAAATAGTGCGAATACCACCTCGAGTTAAAATGAAATCAATAGCGTAACTAGAGGCCGCCAGTAAATCTGAGATAGGTTTATGTGAGTCGCGCAGTCAAGCCAGCACTGACCAAGAACAGGCTGCAATACAATCATTCAAATCTCCAATTCAAGTGCAATTTGGAAGCATGGAGACGAATTCGATTATATCTGCTCAAAGGTGAATAGGACAGTCGGAATGTAGTCACTAGTGCAATTCAAGGTTGACAGTAATTCGGAGAGAAGCCGATACGATTCGCGCACTCAGGCCAACACCAACCAAGAACAGACCACAATGCAATCATTTAAATGTCACTTTCATGCGCAATTTGGAAAAATAGAAACGAGTTTGATTAAATGTACTCAACAGTGAACAGGACGGCCTGAGCGTATTCACTAGCGTAAAATAAGGTCGGCAGATGTTCGGGAAGAAGTATATGGGATTCGCGAAGTAAAACCAAAACTGACCGATATTAGGCTGCAACACGATACTTTGAATCTCCTATTTTAGTGGAATTTTCCAGCATGCAAGCAAGTTCAGCTAAATCTATTGAGATGTGCCCATGATCGTCAGGAAAATATTCGCTAGCCTTACTCAAGGTCAATGGTCATTCGCAAGGACGTCAACCCGATTTGCTCAGTCAAGCCAAAAGTGATCAGAATACGGCCGCAAAATGATGCTTCGAACCTCAAATGCAAGTGCAATTTGTCAGCATGAAAAAGTTTAGTTAGGTTTACTCAACTGTGTCAACGGAGGTTGGCAATGATTCACAAGCCTAACTCAAGGTCAACAGACATTCGGGGCGACGTCAATAAGACCTGCTCAATCAAACCAATATCGAAAAGGAAAAGGCCCCATTGCAATCCTTCAAAACTCACATTCGAGTGCAATTTGCAAAACTGCAAACGAATTCCGCTATATCTACTCAACTGTGCCCATGGTAGTCAAAAAACTAGTCACTAGCCTAACTCAAGGTCAACTGTCTACCTCTATTCTTTCGTCACTAGCACTCCGCTCCCACCATTCTTTGCATCGCGTTGAATTAAAACTACCAAGTTTTGTCTATCAAGTCAATTAGCTTGAATGGATGTGCTAGAGGGCGCCGCAAAATTTTCCGGAGGAAATTTCGTGGGAAGAATGTGTGTCACATGTACGTGACACCAGACGAACACACCTCAAACTGCAGCAATGGTAGGTCAGTCAAAAGAGAGGCACATTTCGTGAGTGCTAAGTGATTAATAAGCTGCCTGAAAAGTTACCTGTTTGGTCTTACAACTATTCGGCAAAAGTGTTCGCACTAATTATGCCTTGCGGCGAGTCACAACGATTTCAAAACTGCGAAAACCAACAGCGAGTCCAGTCCACGGAGATGTCAAAGGGTTTCAAGGTTCCAACTACTACTCACGCATTCAACATCAACAATAAGGCGCATTTAGGACGCACAGAGAAACCACTCGATGCATACCGTTGTTTAGAGAGAGCTCTTCAATTGGTGAGTGACCAGATTCCACAAATCAAGGCATGATTATAGTCGCGACGAATAATATTTCCAGCACCACTGGTACCATTCTATGGGGAATATTTACGTCGTCATTAGGACAAGAAGAGCTCAACCACATGACTACAATATGGCTTTAAAAGACTCGGTGATACAAGACACAACTAAGCAACTCATAACACGAAGAAATACACCCTTTCAACATACCACGTAAAGTGATGCAATGGAAGACGGGGAGACAAATTAAGGCTCTGCGAATCTACACGTCGGAAACTTGATCAGCTTATTTTAATGGACAAAACATATTCTTGCACGGGAGAAGCAATCCATATAAAGTGAGCAGATTTCTATGAATGACCCAATACGCGAGTTAATAAGAAAAACAGCCTAAATGCATCCGCAAGTCATTGACAGCCCACCTTCTGGGGGATGCCAATCTTCTCAAGGAAGAGGTCGTGCAATTGTTGTCTGACGGCGTAGAGACTGACGAAACGCTACGTGACTATGCGGTCCCGGGCACGGCGAACCCAGTGCCGACGCAGCCCATCGCCAGAGATGGACTCCTTCACATTTCTACTTTGAGAATGACTGCTACGAATGAAGAGCTGTCGTTACACAAATGCACTTATTTATGTTTGGTACAAGGCTGGATAAACTAATCAACTAAACGCTCCAAAAATAACAACCCAAGCAACAAAAAATGTAGTAGGCCTTTGGGAGGGGAAGAGGAAATATGGAAGATGAGAAGTGAGGGGAAGCTGACCTGTAATAAGAGTCGGAACCGCGTGCGAGGTCGACCACGTAGACGGTGGAGAGCGCACAACCGTGAGCGTTGGGATAAACGTCAGCGCGGTCCTTGAGGTCCATGGCAACACCCACCTTGGCACTGTCCTTATTGCCGAACCCAAAAACCGAAGAGCGGTGGATGAGGAATAAAATCATGAAGGACCTAGTTTAACCATATAAATAATTCTACCCGTACCTGAAACACGACGAAAATAGAAAAAATTGGTTCAAATTCCTTACCAGACACGAGTCGTGGAGAACAGTAAGGCATTTAGTAGCTTTAATATCTATCAATTTCCACCTCAGTCAGTTGCGCTACGCCAAGCTATGATGAATTCCAAAAAAAATGTTGTTAGAATGTTACCCCTTAACACATATGCTACTGAATATTTTTCAAGGGCTGACGTTCACCTTGATCATTACTTAGCACTCCTGCAAGTGGTAAACATAACAGCATAGTGACGAGTGCATTAGTTATGATGACAGCTAAAAAGTGAGTTATCTCACTCATTCGCACATTCGAGTCACATTTTCTGCAAAAATTTCCATGCGGTTATGCGCGGCGATAAGTGGACTTGAGGAACTGCAGTGAGCAAGCAGCGAAAAACAACAGAGCATAAAGAGACAAAATTATACCCACGTAAATGGACCTAAAAATAATGCAATGTACAGCAATTCTGCCATTTTAAAATCACTACGAGCTGGCTAAAATGTCTACAAATACTTGTCTGAGGGTCGAAGATGAATACAATCAATGTGAAAAAGAAAAGAAGATTGCTCACAGAAGTCAACGCCGACTCAGCCGAGTCCCAAACGGTGACCAGTACACTCCCAGCGACTAGCCGCAGAAAATCATTGATAGAGGAAGCCGTAGCTAGACATCCAATGAGTGCCAGAATACAGGTTGAGGGGGATTCCGCCTCCTCTTTCAATCTCCGTCTTTACGTACAACGGAGCTGTCACCAATATGCCCCCACATGTTATCTGTGAAATCAAAGAGCGAGGTAATGCCATATCAAGCATTCATATGTGATTGTCTATACATACCAGCAAAATGGTCAATTACGCATCTCCCATCACTTAGAAGCATATTTACGCATGAATATTATTTGACATAAAGCAACAGCAATCACCCTGTTATAGACAGATATTCCAGATTCTCCTCTTTCCAAAGGTCCTTGGAAAGTCGAGAGATTATGTTCACCGTCAAGTCCAAGTAACAAAGGCTGCAGGTTAGAGCAGACACCTTCGACACACTCAGCAAAGTTGCCAACAGACTCCACAATCGACAGAGGCGAGTCAAATGCAAGTAACGCAGACTCATGGCAATTGATCACATTCGGTAGTTCCCCATGTTCAGCACAGTCATATTCCTAAGTGAAAAAAAAACGACTTCCAACTCGCGGAGGCACTATATTCCTTATATGAGGACTCTCAAGGTAAAAAAGAAAGGGGGTAGCAACACAAGTGAATCTTCTTAACCGCCTACATTCTACGCGACGAGTTTGATAGGAGAATTCCTTGTTGCACGCCACAAGTTCAAAACACGCCCGTTGGAACAATTTCACACAATGCGCGGTGGCGTTTAGACATGACACAGTTATGTAGTCAAACGAACACAAATATCTTGGGAAAATTATGTTTTTAAAACAAAAATGAAAAGTAAGCGATGTTAAAAAGGACAACACAATTATAATAACCGCAATAATTATTAATGCGAATTTTGCCGCGAGAGTAAAAGTTGCATGCGACAAAATTAAATTTTTGTGCATTATTAATGCGTTGTTGATTTTATATAATTCTATTTCCATACTAGTTAAAGTTTATTTGTTAAACTAAGCCTATTAATTGTAAATACTTGGCATATACCTTCTTGTGAGGAAACTAACTTGATATCAACCTCCCTATCATTCTAACATTTGACCCAGGTACATGTTTACATACTTTTCTTCCTCTACGCCTTTCATCCTTGTTGAAAATAAAAGTGGTCTATGTGTAAACAACGCATCTGTAGAACAGTGAATCGGGTAGAAATAAGAGAGTGGACCCATTTGTTCGCAAATTGTATGTGCCTAGTCTTTACTTGTTTCCCTCCTTATCTAGTTCAGTGGACCACACGTTGATGTTAAATGCCAAAATGTGATGAAGTCTTCACCGAGCCTGCTATTGACAGCACCACGTTTGATAAAGAATGACTGGTTTAGGCCGTGGTCACATATCTTTGCCTTCTTCCGTAGAATACGTACGATTGCATGGCTTTTTAAGAGGAAAAAATACAACAGAAGGAGTACAAAGAAAGCTGGCAACAAAACAATGTTTAAAGCTGAAGTATTAACTTAAAATGATTTTTGGCCACTTTTGATGTGGGCATTTAAACAAGCAAATAAATGCAAGAGAAACATTACACACTTACTCAAAGCGTGCCCAAATTTTGTTTAAAGATTCTGTCAATCCTCTCTACCAAAAAATACATCGACTATTGGGTAGTTGCCGCATACATTACTGTAGCATCCCGAGACTTCCCTGAACACGATAGAATACACAATGCTCAGGAAGAACATATATTCAGCACTGAGAAGGTGTTTGGGTTACTGGCCTGGCCTGAAGGCCAGCCCATCCAGCGTGGTACAAGAAGGCAAATTCAAAAGTCCAAAAATGGCGCCTTCCCAATACCAAGGGTAAACCACCATCGTATTACATTATTTTGCCCAAATTAAGGGCATTACTTCCACTTTTAACAAGGCAACAGCCCTTTGTTAGGTCAAAAGTCATTTTTTAATACTAGAGAACATCAGAAATTCAAGTGGATGTTAAATGATCTGAACGAGCGGTGTGTACTAGTGCCAGCTAATAAACGATCTCAATTCGCTCCTTTTAAAACAATATTGGCAAATTCAACGGTTTTTTGCGTCTCTTTTGCCGCATTATCTTTAGCAGAATCCAAAACAGGCAGTCTTTTCGCAACAGATGGCAAATTTCGAAGTGGTCAGTCTTATGAGTGGGTCTGGTTTAAGCAGTGATTACTCTACGAATGGCATGGGAAAATTGAAATGAGGGCGGGAAATTTGTGGTAGGTAGAACCAAACTTGAATGCAAACATCTTCTCAAAGTGGACGTCGCCAGGAGAATTTTCGTCACCACAGCCACCTCTGAGATGAGGTGTGATTTGGCCACGGAGTCCTTTGAAGTGCACTCTACAGGAGGTTGTACTTACCGATTAGAAGGTACTGCCTCGAAATGGCATCCATCTGCTAGCTGTGATATCACCGTCTTGATCTCAGATTGCAACTCTTTTGCAATCATTCCAATCTGGCGTTCGACTGACTGCTGTTCGATCTCTACGAATGTTCTGGTGAGGCACTTTGCCCACTATTAATCACTAGACATGGAACCCATCGTTTTCCGTCAATATAACTGTAATGGCACCGTTGTTGTACCTTTATGACGGAGATGAGATGGATTTCGTTTGAGAGAGTTTAGGTAGGCACATATTTGACGCTCAACAACCTTGCAACTATCACTTCATTATTACTGCCTACATCTGTAAACTGTTTTCTTTTTCCTTCCTTGTTACTTTACTTCCAAATAAGCGTTTGTAATACAACTATAAGTAATCACATAGGTTTTTTCAGAGTTATTTTTGGTTGCGTTTCTTCAATCTTACCTAGCCAGTGTTTACCGTCTTAGAATTTCTATAGTGGTGCAGTTGATCCAAACTGTTAGTTATTTTTTTCGCTTCTCGCATTCACCTGTTCAAGCGGCATGCTTTTACTATGGTAAGGACTCGTTCTAAAGTGTTTCTAATCAAAGTGTCCT